TTCACGATTAAATGACAAAACGTTCTGAGTGATGTTATGCTAAAAAATGTCAAACTTTCCAATGGAAATGTCAGATTGCACCTGGCAACACTTAGTGTTGCCTAGGCCAGCCAGCTATATAGCAGCCCTCGTATGTATACATATATTTTATAGGGTCTCTGACTTTTCCTTCTTGGTGTTACAAACTTCTTGGCAAACTTAAAATAAACTGTTCAGGGTTAAAAAAAAAAAAACGAAAAAGTCAGTGAAAATCGATATTAATGGATATTGGCTCATTGTGGTTGCGTAAGATGGTCTTAGCGATTACTGGTTTCAATAATGCGACCGGCCGTGCCGCATTTCGAATCAAACTTTTTAGCTTCTGCAACAAAAATTCACTTGTCGGCTTATATCAAAAAGAGATAACGTTGACTAGTCTTCGAGATCTCCAGATCTGAATCTCATGACTTGTCTTTGTTGAATCATTCGAAAAGCAAGTTCGGAATCACGATGAACTCAGGGAGAAAATTGTCGCTTACTACCCGCGTTGCTCAATAAAAATGGCTAGATTTTCTTTGCAAATAAAGGCAGCAACTAGATTTTTATTATAAACAGAAGTAGTCAAAATTAATTGCAAAGAAAGGTGGTTTTTCTTTCAGTGTTTACATACCGAGGTGAGAATACCCTCTAGACGTGACTGGAGAAGAGGTTTAGTAGGGGAGGAGAATACTATCTCAATCTAAACCGACGGGTCAAAATCGATGGTGGAGTAGGGATGGAGGTATACTCCGAGGATCTTCACATCTCTCTCTCTCCCTCTCTCTCTATCCTCATACCAACCTCAGCTAGCATTTTCTAAGCAGAAGTACTAGGCGTAGAGAAGGCCTGTGGACTTCTACTAAATAACTATGGGCGAGGATACAGAAAGCCACCATATACACAGAAAATTAATTTCAGCGTAGTCAACAAATGTAGGAAGACATTAAGCTCACTGGCAGGTCAACTCCACATGTCCATTACACATGGAACATTTTCGGCCTCTCGCGCCCGCTGGTAACAATCAAAAGGGAGCCCAATACAAACATTGAAGAAATACCTCACAACAGATGGATATCTATAGCCAAATGCAAAATAACGATGCGGATATGGCGAATGTATGACATGACAAAAACTAAGAACTTATTAAATAGGTTCAGCAAAAGTATATACAGACTTACAGCTACCATAACGGTGCATTAGCCATTTCGATAAAATGCGTTAAAAATGAGAATGTCTTAAATAATATTTGCCGCAGCTTAAAACTTAAAGGAAATAAGAATACAGCTCGATCACGACAGAGAACTCTTGGAATTCATAAGGTACCAAACCTTGAATGGCTATCTACAAAAATCAAAACGGAGATAAGTAGTTTCATTGAGGGCAACTTTATAAAAGTCTTATGATAGTGTATCAAAATAACCCTAATTGAATCCGAAGGCGCCGCATTCCTACTTATCTACCTTACATACCAACATACAAATTTCGCATCCTTAATTTCAGTTTCATACGTAGCGCACATTTTTGTAATTCTCAATGAGCTTATAAATAAACAAACTTCTGTCTAGATTACATACCCACGTGACAGATGGCGCACCCTGTATACATAACTATGTATTTGCGAAGCCATTTGCGTAATTTGTCGTCAGTTGACTTTCCGTTGCGTAGTCATTATCTTTTATGATAATGTTAATGGTAAATTGCAAACGAGCAAATGGTTTTTAGGTTGGTCGCCAGATCGATGAGATCCTACGTGTGACAGACAAATGTGCTCAACTGCAGATATATTGCGATAAATGGAATAAGTATATATTACAAATGCAAATATACATTAATATCTGGATAAATATAAGAATTCACTCAACATGGACAACGATTCCTCACAGAAAAATCACCAGAATCAAGGCCAACACACTATGAGGTCCGAGCAGTAAGAACTTTTGTATGAATTATTCACAGGCAGGTTCAGCACTCCTTAATCTAAAAGTTTTTATAGAAAAATTAAACTAGATTTAGAATGAAAGCCGTCATTTACGAACACTTAGACACACAAATAAATAAGATCGCATGAAATTAATTTTTTATCAAGCTGTGCATACAAATTAAATGAATAAGCGGATGCTTTTTAAGCTGCTAAAACACGTCTCGCACCAGCGTCTGCAACAACAAGCAGTAAATGTCAGCCGCCGCAGCGTTAGCGCTGATCTGAGTGCTGACCATGACATTGACACTCGTGAAATCAAAAGTAACAAAACAAAGCTAAAGTTCGTTATTGTTATTTTAATTGTTTTTTGCTTTTGCTGAGAGCATGTAAACGAGAGAAAAGAGTGTAAATGTGTTAAAACAGCAACCAGGTACAAAGGTAAGTGCTTTCTTCTTGTTGCACCGTGGTTAAGAGTGGCATAATATTTGAGCAACAAACTTATAAATATATAATAAAATGTATATATAAAAATTATTTACCGCCACAGAATGAAAATACAATATTAATTCTAACAAAAGAAAGTACAATAAGTAAAGAATAAAATTAAACTGTATTATTACAAGATATTATTTTTATACCCTGAACAGGGTATATTAAGTTTGCCACGAAGTTTGTAATACCCAGAAGTAAACGTCGGATTTTTAATTTTATTTTAGCTACCACACAAACTAATCGATCGGAATCAAGTGCTTGTATGGAAAACGTTTTCATTTGACGTTGTTTCTTGTTTTATTCAATTTTGTTGAAATAAATATTGTGACAACTATGTACTTACTCCCGGCCTCACGACTTTTTATTACAGCTATTGATCAAGGCACTTTTTTATGAATTCAAAAAAAAAAAAAAATAATAATAATAATAAAAACAGTGAAGACCATAATGAATCCTGTGAAATGATAAGCATTTTCTTTGTAGCAAACATTTTATTGAGAGCCACGAATTCTATCCAATTATTTATTATAGAAATATTAATTGCAATTCCAAAAATGAGACAAGAACCATTAATATGGAATTTACTATAAAATGGTGTGGATATTTTTTTTTATTTCTTGCTGTTGAATAGAAACAACAATATTGGAACCAGGAATACGTAGGTGATCTTTTCTTTACAGGGTCAGAAGTGCCACGATGGTAAGTTCTCGGGAGGTTTTAGCGTAATGATGATTTGTGAATTGAGGTTCAGAAATTGGATTATACAGATAGACTCAACTGTATTGATGCGCTTGTTAGTTCAAGGCTTGAAGCAGAACTGTAAGAGTTCTAATCGCAGATGTTTTGTGTAAATAAAACTTCACTAATTTAAATAAATTAGTGTAACACGATTAAATGTATTAAAAATCTACTTTTTGCAATTCTAAGCTTCAAAATAAAACCATTTTATTAAAAGTAACGAAAATTTATAAATGAATAATAGAATAAATTTTTTTTTCCCTGGATAACTAGCAAATTTTGATGCTTACAAGTGTCCATGATAACGACCTTATTCATGAAAATATTGCAAGTCCTTACCGAAAATATGCGAAAAATTATGCGGGAAGTTTGAAGGTTTTACTAAAAATCAAACGTGGATATATCTGGAATTACAGTCTACAAAATGCCCTTTTGTACTCAGTGAAAATTTCGCTTTCGTTTCAAAAGTAATTCGCATGGACTATTCAGCAACAATGATGTCGCCAAATACCCAGATATCGGTACAGTCTATAAATAGATATAAAGAAGAGGGTAAAACATTTACACCAAAGTTATTTTCTCAAAATAAACTCAGTGATTTAATACGTGATCAAGTGTCAAAGCGTTGCAAGCGTTGGTGTGAGAGGATATTGTTTAACTTAAATTAGTAAAAAGATGTCCAAAGCTTGGTATGGAAAAGTTAAAAAGTCTTCAAATACAGCGATTCATGAAAAATACAGATTTTATCAAAGTTATAACTTTTCCAAAAAGTAAAGATGGGAAAAGTGAAGTGTTGATTGCCGAAATTTTCCCAGTTACTATAAGCCACCTAATTATGAAGAAATTTTGCAAAATATGCTGGTAACTATCTTCGCCATCATATGAATACATTTTCGGATAATTTAAGAAAATATAGTGAGATAATGATAGAGCCATTTTATAAGGATTTAAAAGTTAGCGACGAAAGGAATCAAGGTTAATCATCCCATTATGGCAGAATATTGTTGATCCTTAAAAAGTGATTGTCGACTGGAAAATTATAAAGGAAATGCTCATAAAAGGCGTTTAATTGAGATATAACATATGCTTTCGACATTTGTCTATTTGTTTACTTCGATGTTTCCTTATTTATCAAAACTAACTTACATTCGAAATATATATGTAATTTGTCTTCTGTTTTTTGTACTGTAAAATGGAAATAAAGATTTAAAAATAAACGAGAGCAAATCTTACAAACCCATTGATTGTTTCATGAACTGTGGGCTCATATATATCCAAAATCGATTTTATATCTAGGGTAACAAAACCACTGTAGACCAGTGTTATTTAAGCATTATAATTTGTTAACTAAATAATTAAAACAAAATGTATGTCCCAACCAAAATATAGCAAAAAATTATACTAAAATAAAAAATTATTTTCGAAACTAGGTTAATAAATTAATGGCTTATAAAAATTATTATTATATTATGATACCGAAGTCCTATGTAAAAATAATTATATTGTAGCGACTTTTTAAAACTACTCAACAGAACTTAAAAAAATATATAATAATGATGATTATAATAAAAAAAAATTAAATTAAAGATTTACGAAAAATTCCATGTGAAATAATAAAAAAAAAAAAATTTGTATACAAATATTTAAAAAAAATTGTAATTATTTGTGGCTAAAACATTATTAAAAAGTTATAAAGTATTCATTAAATACTATTAAAAAAATCCAAAAATTAAGTTTTAAAATTTCGCGACATGTTTAAAAAAAATCATCAAAATAATAAAAAAAAATTTTTTCAAATATTTTGTTGCACACATATATGTTATTATTTTTTTTTTTCAAACCAAAGTTTTGAAATTTATCGGAAATTTAAACACCAGCGATAATAACTTCCGAATAAAATTAAAATAACGCAAAAAAAAGTTTTAAGGTCACAATTTTTAAAAAATATAATATACAAAATATTTATTTCTCATGTGTGAATTCATCAACCTCATACCACTGTGCCAGCTAATCATTTACTAAATTTCAATTTTAAATGCTTTATGTTTCGCAATTAAACATTCGCTAGAAGTTAAGAGAATAAGTATTACGTTCAATGAACCGTAACACGATAGAGCGCTAGTAAGCGAACTCTCCCTGATGAGCATGACAATACAAGTACATATATACCCACATATTTACATAGGTAACTGCCTATAATAAAATTGTACATATGCATTTTAAAGCGCTTTCGTTTTCTTCTCTGATATTCTAATGAACTTTTTAACATTAGAATCTTTATATGGAATCAACGGTCGGTTAGATGGCACAGAACTTCGCGGAACAGTGGCGAATCCATACACGGTTTACAGAAAACTTCAAGGCGCGCATGCGCTGATAATACGAATGATCAAAATTGGTGTGTGACAAATACAGTGAAGTGTGACCCATATAAATTGCGCTTAATGATTTTAATAAATTTCACAAACAATAGATAAATAAAAGGAGGCTGAGATGTGGACGAGATTAGTTTTAATTATTTTTTTACTCACAAATGCCAGTCGCGTCTCGCATGCGCAACGTGGTAATATCATAACAACTTTATTCGAATTTTTGCGACGTGGCCAAAATGATCTAAATATCGAACATGTGGACGATAATGTACAACTCTTAAATGAGTATGATTTTATTGTCGTCGGTGCGGGCACGGCGGGTTGCACGCTAGCGGCGCGTTTGTCCGAAAATCACGCTTGGAAGGTGCTGCTGATCGAGGCCGGTGGCCCCGAAAATATGGCTATGGATATACCAATCATGGCACACTTCCTACAACTCACAGAAATAAATTGGAACTACCGCACGCAGCCGTCGAACAAGTATTGCCTCGCCATGAACAATCGCCGTTGTAATTGGCCGCGCGGCAAAGTCATGGGCGGCTCATCGGTGCTCAACTATATGATGTACACACGTGGCAATCGGCGCGACTATGACCGTTGGGCAGCGTTGGGAAATGAGGGTTGGAGCTACGGCGAAGTGTTGCCTTACTTTCGAAAATTCGAAGGCTCCGAAGTTCCCAACGCTGAACGTGATTATGTGGGGCGTCAAGGGCCAGTGAAAATCGGGTATCCGGCCTGGCGTTCGCAGATCTCAGCGGCTTTTGTGCAAGCCGCACAGGAGGATGGCTTGAAGTACCGTGACTACAATGGGCGCATACAAACCGGCGTATCTTATCTACAGGCCACAATACACAATGGTATGCGCTGGAGTTCCAATCGCGCCTACCTCTATCCGCATAAAGGCCAACGTGCCAATTTGCATGTGAAAAAAAATACATTAGTTACTAAAGTGTTGATAGAGCCGCGTACAAATACTGCTTACGGTGTGATATTAAGCACTGGCGGTCAATCTTACCAGGTGCGCGCAAGAAGAGAGGTGATACTAAGCGCAGGCGCCATCAACACACCACAGCTGCTAATGCTCTCCGGTATCGGACCTGCGCAGCATTTGCGCGATGTGGGCATTAAGCCAATTGTAGATTTGGCTGTCGGCTACAATCTACAGGATCACATTGCGCCAGCAGTTTCGTTCACCGCCAATGTTAGCTCCATCAGAACTACAGATTACTTCGAAACTAGCAATATAATGAAATACATAGATGGCAAGGGAGTATTCGGCTTACCGGGCGCTGTAGAAACAATCGCGTTTTGGGATATGGGACAACCGGGGCTAGAGGATGGTTGGCCTGATTTGGAAATGTTTCAAATAGCCGGGTCCTTTGATGAGAACCCGGCGACTCTGCGCGCTTTTGGCATACAGCCGGACACCTATAACACCATGTTCGGTAATGTCAAGAGCGACGGTTTCATGATATTTCCCATGATCCTGCGTCCCAAGAGTCGTGGTCGCATTATGCTTAAGAGTAATGATCCTTTCAAATACCCGCTTTTGTATGCAAACTACTTTGCCCATCCCGACGATTTAGATATAGCAGTGCGCGGTGTGCTAAAGACAATTAGTTTGATAGAAAAGCCCGCATTTAAGGCAATTAATGCGCGTATGTTAGAACGTGTTATGCCCGGTTGTGCTAAAGTGCCATATAAATCGCGCGCCTACTGGGAGTGCTACGTGCGACATTTCACTTTCACCATCTACCACTACTCCGGCACAACAAAAATGGGACCGGCTACAGATCCAACGGCTGTGGTTGATCCAAGATTACGCGTATATGGCGTCAACCAATTGCGAGTGGTAGATGCCAGTATAATGCCGCAAATTATAGCGGGACATCCTAATGGACCTGTGTTTATGATAGCAGAGAAAGCAGCCGATATGATTAAGCAGGACTATAACTATATTTGATGACATAGAAAGTTGTTAAGACTATTAAAAAACAACGTCTGTCATAGTTAACGAGTTATTAGCAAAATTTTCTCAGGTATTTAAGAGATGCTGTACTTAGGAAAATAAATTTACTTTAAGTTATAAGACGTGTTATCGCAACTACTAAAAAAATATCGCGTTAATTATTTAAGCCATCTCTCTATTGTGTTTGAGTAATTCAGCATTGTCACTCGAGTATTCTTTCAGTCGTCGAGGTCAAAAAAGCGCAACGCAAGTTCAGTAAGCAATTAAAATAGTCGACTGCCGCGCCACGTCACAGCGCACGGTGTGTTGCGCATTGCGCTTAACGTGTTCACCGTCAGGTAGCAACGGCACAATGGCATGAAAGCGAAAACGCAAAAGAACAAAGTTTGCCATGCTTTACACGCAACAGCGCTTAGAAAATCATCGACTGTTGACACTTCACTTTCCATAGACCAAAAATAACACACACCAGCGCACAATTACAAAGCACGCGAACGTGTGCACAATGCCAGCGGCAACGGCGCGACGAGCATAGGGAGCGACAAGCGCATGAGTTTGCAAGTTCAACAACGTTATCGCTGCTGGCGCAACTTAATTTGCTACAAAAACCTTTGCGTCATTACCAACGACGAAGCCAGTGCTAACGTTTTAGCCGTCGACGCTCAGCTTGAAGCTGTTGGACAACCTGTTCGATGTTGGCGCTTATTCGCATTGAACTATTTAGTTTCGCTTTTTGTGCTTATCAAGCAAATCGATGAAGAAGCTGACTGCCGAAGAGTAGGCCTAGCCATCGTCTATTCACTACGATTATTAAAACCACATACAACTGCCGAGCAGCAAGCATTCCAAGTTACGTTTCCTCGGCGTTAAGACGCGTGTTTCCGAGAACACGCTAAACTGCAAACGGGGCAGACAACGGGCTCGCGGTTCTAACAACACCAAATATTATATAAGCAGAGTGGCTAGAACGCGGTAGCAGCGTTAAGAAGCTGTTTAAAAGGCATACGAATTCAGTTATATTTGCCAAGAAAAATAGAAACCAGTGCAAAGTGCAAATAAAAACATTGAAAATATCAAAAAAAATATTGGAATTAAATCTTATATAACTGTAGAACTTTGAAACTTGTGTATGCGCACAGTCGGCAAAGTGTACCGAATTTCCTGAGGGCGCATAAAAATATGTGCGGTTTTTAAACTTGTCTATAAAAACTTTGATAAAGTAAAATTGTGTACGTAAAAATGTTTTTCTTACTACAACCACGTCTGCTACTATCAGCGCTAGTGTGTCTGCTGTGCGCCTTTACTTGGGCGCAGGAGCGCAATGTAATACTAGAGAGCTTTGACTTTCTGCGTCGCGGCCAGATAGACGCAAATTTAGAAAATTACGACAATAACCTGCAAATGGAGAAGGAATATGATTTTATTGTTGTGGGCGCGGGTACGGCGGGATGTGCAATAGCGGCGCGCTTGTCAGAGAATCCAAAATGGAAGGTGCTGCTGCTCGAGGCCGGCGGCCCAGAGAGTCTTATAATGGATGTGCCCATAGTAGCGCATTTTCTGCAACTGGGCGAAATGAATTGGAAGTATCGCACGCAGCCTTCGGAACGCGCTTGCTTGGCTATGAATAACAATCGTTGCAATTGGCCGCGCGGCAAGGTTATGGGCGGCTCGTCTGTGCTTAACTATATGATGTATACGCGCGGTAATCGACGCGACTACGATCGCTGGGCAGAGTTGGGTAATGTTGGTTGGGGTTGGCGTGATGTGTTACCATATTTCAAGAAATATGAAGGTTCTAATGTGCCAGATGCTGATGAAGATTTAGTGGGACGCAGTGGTCCTGTGAAAGTCTCATATGTGAATTGGCGTTCAAAGATTGCCGATGCCTTTTTGGAGGCGGTGCAGCAAGATGGTTTGCAACATCGCGATTACAATGGACACATTCAAAATGGTGTGAATTACTTACAAACGACCACGCGCAACTCAACGCGTTGGAGTTCGAATCGCGCCTATTTGTATCCGCTCAAGGGTAAACGCCGTAATTTGCACGTAAAGAAATATGCTTTAGTCACAAAAGTGCTCATCGATCCAACTACGAAAACCGCTTACGGCATAATGGTGCGCACCGACGGTCGCGAACACAAAATACTCGCGCGCCGTGAGGTGATCGTCAGCGCTGGCGCCATTAACACACCACAACTGCTCATGCTCTCCGGTGTTGGACCTGCACAGCATTTGCGTGAAATGGGCATTAAACCGATTGCAGACTTGGCAGTTGGCTTTAATCTGCAAGATCACACAGCGCCTGCGGTCACGTTCACTACCAATGCAACATCGTTGCATTTCGAAGATTTCGCTGATCCGACGCTGGTGAATCGCTTTAATCGACAAGAGGGTCCCTACGGTTCACCCGGCGGCTGTGAGGCTATGGCTTTCTGGGACTTGGATCACCCGCAACTGAAGGATGGTTGGCCAGATATTGAACTGTTTTTGGTAGGCGGCTCAATGTCCTCCAACCCGGCGATATCGCGTGCCTTTGGTCTCAAAAAAATCATCTACGATTCCATGTTTGCGGAAATCGAAGACAAAGAACTCAATGCATTCATGATATTTCCCATGATATTGCGTCCCAAGAGTCGTGGACGCATCATGCTCAAGAGCACCGATCCGCAGAAATATCCACTCATCTACTCAAACTACTATGCACATCCCTATGATGTCGACATTTCCGTGCGTGGCGTGCAGAAGGCGATCAGTCTGATCAACTATCCGGGCTTCAAGAAGATCAACGCCAAAGTGTGGAACCGCAGAATACCCACGTGTAAGGGTATTGAATTCGGTACACGGGATTACTGGGAATGTCACGTGCGTCATTTCACTTTCACCATCTACCACTACTCAGGCACGGCGAAAATGGGCCCGTCAACCGATCCGGCGGCTGTGGTGGATCCGCGTCTGCGTGTCTATGGCATTAAGAATATGCGTGTGGCCGACGCGAGCATCATGCCAGAGATCATGTCCGGACATCCGAACGGACCGGTTTTCATGATAGCAGAAAAGGCGGCGGATATGATCAAAGAGGATCACGGCTTCCAACAGTGACGAGGTGCGGTTGTTGAAGTACTTTTAAGAGAAAAATAAACTGTATTTATATTCCAAGCTTTCCAAAGGGGACAACAATAGTTTGTAAGACAGGGTGGGCACTTGCTAGGTCTAAGCTAGCAGTAAGTGTAAATAAGTTTAATTAAGTTTTTTGTAATAAGTGTGCAAAAATGTGTTGCCAAGTAGTTAAACATTTAGATTATCGTAGAGCATCAATGAAGCATTCTAAGTCTACATATTTACAGATACTTTTAGTGAAATAGGAATATCAGTGCACTGAAAATTAATGCTTAAGTTTTAAAGTATCAATAAATATGCTTTTAAGCGTGTGTCAACTGTAACATTGTCATTGACTACTGTCTGTTGGTTGCCTTCGGAGTGTGCTATTATTATTAACGACGCTGCTATTCGTCGGCTTTGTGAGTCAGTTTTCGAAGCGATTTCGATTTGAAAATCAGATTTCGGTCATTCACTTGCTTTCGCGCCTGCAAATTGCTTTTCATTCAACTTCGACGTTTTGCCAATTGACCACGACTTTTTGTCACTCTTCGCTTTGCGGCTTTTCGCCAAACTTTATTTGAAGATTATCAAATTGTGTAGTCAATTTATGCGTAATTTTTGCAGAACGGGTTTTTTTCGAGGGTGTTCGCATAAAATGTCAAATTTAAGAAAGGCATAGGGTGAACATGCGTAAAAATGTACTGAGTCACGTAGATGGTAGTAAATAAAGCGATTTCAAATGTTTCAAAATTAATTGCAATACAAAGGAGACTTGAAAAAAATATATAACAAAATATGAGTGAAATTTTATAATAAAAAAAATAACAATAACAAATTTTTTCAAGTGACGAGGAGTGACTGACAATAAAAAATTTGTTTCTAAATATAGTTGAATATTTAAGACACTCAGAGTTTATTTGAGTAGTTTACAGTGTCACCAATTTTTACTCTCCAAAAAGAGTCGTAATCGCATTAAGCACAACAAGATGGTGTTTCATGCGAGTGAACAAATATTGTGTTTAGCAGTAAGTGTAAATAAATAAACTCGAACTTTTGGAGCCACATAAAATATATTTTGTATCTCTGCTAAAGCTATAACTCTGAAATATGAAGATGCTTTCTGCTTCAGTAGAGAGTTTCATCTCGCTGGAAAGAATTTTCCGATTTGCTAGGACAACCAACTGCAACTACAGGTTGTTTAAAAATATATAATCTTTGTCCAGAAATTGCTGCGCAAATTCACAGAAGATGTGAAGCACCATAAATGGGAAGCACAGACGGTTTGGCATTTTATAAATGGTGATTATATACGTTTAATCAGTAACTATACAGTGTTTATGGTAACTCTAATACAGAAAACACAATGCTGACTTGTTGAGGGGAAGAACGATGCTTACTCGAGAAACTAATCGACCAACTCACTAAAAAGATGCGAAACCTTGAGTATATATGTTCCTTAAGTATGTCATATAAAAATAGGCCGGAGACAGACGCAAAGAAAGGAGTATGATTGAGAAAATAAAATAAGATTTTTCAGAGTGCGATACGATTTTTTATTTTGGGTAGTCTTTTATTTAGATATATATCACTTTCTTTATGTAGATAGATCAATTGTGATTAAAATCGTATATGTTTGAATTATCTTGGATTTATTCCTTTGATTAAATTCGCACCGGAAAGTTTGGAATGCACTTTAAAAGTGTCAGGCACTTAAATAAGATTCATGTAAAAGTTCTAGTTGTTGTAAAAGGTGGCTGGAGCTACTGCTGATTAGTAGCAGTGCAGTAGTTAGAAAAATACTACTTTCCCCTACTTCAGTGAAAAAAAAAGAAATAAAAAGACCTATACAATATTTATAAATGTCCAAATCAGGATTCTCCGTGCGAATTTTAATAAATAAATCTTTATGCTATCCCAATTAGCTGAAGTAATTAAGACGTTATTTGAGTTATCATATTTTCTAAAGGGTAACTGACAAATCAAAAATGGTGTTGCTATATCACTGACGCTGCTGAGATGACTTAATAATTGTTGATGTTCTTCATTAGAAAAATAGTTGCTTATTATTTGACAGGAGCAATGAGGTTACTTATAACATAATTAATTAAGTCAATCAAGATGTTAATTGAGTTATCATATTTTCAAGAGGCTACTAATCAGTGAAAGTATCGGAATTGATTTTGCAATTTTGTCGTGAGGTTAATATCATTTACTTACTCCACAGCTCTGATAATTCAAATGATAATTCAGTCATCGTTTTCACAATTTTTAGTTCATAGCTGTCTAAAAAATATTTATATCTTTATTAAACAATCTGGTTTGGACTGCAATATGTCTTTGTTCTGCAAAAGGTTAATTGCCAATTATTAAAAATCGAAAAAGGTGTTATAATCAACAGAATTCTGTCATTCAGTCAGTAGTCTTGATTGTGAGATTAATCCGATCCTGGCGAACCATTTTGAAATACTATTGTTAAAATATGTATGTAGTGAATTAAAAATATATTAATGGAGATTTTCTTTGAGTTTATATGAGGTCAAATTGTCGATAATTTTTAGCGCCAAATTTTATACATTTGATTTGAGCAGTCATTATTTATTAATTTATTTATGTTTAAATAAATACTAATTGAAATAGTTCGTTGCTTCGTTATATGCCAAATTGAGAAGAATTAGGATTGCTGAATTACTGAAATTCTTTAATTGTTCAATTAAGATTGCCGGCAAATAACTTTCTTTTTCTAACCACTGTTCAAACGCGCCTCTATACTACGCCGGTTGTCAAACTGTTGAAAATCAATTAACATTAATTAATCTTTAATTGATGTTTTCAAAGATGATAAAATTGTAGGTTGAGCACACTTCTTGGCGAAATGGCAAATTTCTATATTTGGATAAATTTTTTTTTAAACGTTATCTAGAAAATATTAATGGGACAGCGTGCGAGCGTACTGCAGCAAAAGCAAAACAGCATGCAAAGGTTCACATTGAGTGGAAGAAATAGTTTTGCTGGCACTTCGACAAGATCTGTTGCACAAGCAATTCAGGCACACACACACACAACCACATACTGGCGGTGCATAATTTATGTGTATAGGTTGGTGTAGGTGTGCGGTAAACAATTTTTTCCTTTACCGTGTGACATTGACTTTGAAATAATATTATTCGAGCGTTCATGTTATTGACATTTAATTGCTTCATTTCATTTCACTTTTCGGTTTTTCGCTGCTTACCCCTTTTTTGGTCATAAACAGTTACATTGTTTTGTTTATTTTTTACTTTTCCTTTCATTTTCACGGCGTATTCTGTTGTTTTGAACTTGTCTTGGCTAAATTATCTCAATCTGTTTTGTTGTTTTTGTTATGGTTGTTGTTTGTCGTAGGCAATTATGATTTCATGCCAATCGGACAAGTTTTTTCAAATAATTTAACGCATACGGAAATGATTTTCTGATTCGCATTAAAGAACTATAAAGTTAATTTGGCAGCTACACTTAAAACAATTTACAAGGGAGTGCAAAGAGCTCAGAGTTTAAGCAAAAATATAAGAGTAGCTTATGTAATTGTACGCCATTCGGCAATCAAACCCTTCTAAAGATCCACAAATCATAAAAAATATTGCTTTTAAAAGCAGCGTCATTAATAAATAATAATAAATCTAAGAATGACTTTCAAGCATAAAAAATATTTCAAAAGAAACTCATACTTATTCGAAAACGGTGGCAGAAACAAGGCCCAATATCTGTCTGTCTAATATCTAATATTGTATAACTATGAAACTGCTTTGGCTAACAAGTGGCCCTTATGTTTAGAAATAACCAGTTGGTGTCAGCATCGATTTTCTGGCAAATTTATTGATTTACCTAAAATGCTTGTCGGAAAACAAAATATATTACAATCGGAAGAAATGACTCATAAACGAAGATAAGAATATATAAAATTTTCTGATAGGGTTTTACTAAAATGAGTTCTTTGTTATCGATTATAATAAACTCTTCCTACTACATCAATAAATATTAAACGCTATAAAAATTAAACTTCTCCGCGTGTGTCGTAAGCAGCGAATACAATTATAGATACTACATTAAGAACTCAAACATGAAAATCGATTGAAAGTATTAAATAAAAATGTCTCATATACACATATACATACATAGTATGTACCTATAGAATTTAATTTTAGAATTTTAAAATTTGAGCTTTTAAACAGGTGGTAACACTTAAACAAGCGGCCAATATTTTTTTTTAATCTGTGTATTTTTTGACCAACTTACAATATTTCATTCATTTTAACTATTTGTAAGTAAAAGAGTAAATGATAGAAAAATTGAACAGGTGGCAATACTTTTAAAAAATATTTTCAACTGTAAGCTTTATTAAATATCTTAAAGTAATAAATTACAATTTTCTCAAATTTAAAATTGAAAAAGCTGGCAGCTCTCTACAAAAAATATTTTCTCTTCTAACCTTCTTAAACATTTTCATTCTTTTATAGTTTTGTTGTTCATAAAATTTCACACAGGTGGAAACCTTACCAAAATCGTTTTCAAATATAAATTTTCATAAATCTTTACAGTTTGCAGTTCCCTTATTGGAATAAATATTTCGACTCAAAATGCATATGGCAAATATAAATGCCTTTATTAAATACAGTTAGCATCCAGTAGTTAGTTCTTTATTTAATTAATTTATTTAAATTTGATTGACGTAAACATTTTTATTATGAGGCAACCATCGCCAAAAAATGTTTTAAAATGTTTCTTTGGCTCTTCAGAAGCATTACAACTTTTATCTTAACAGTTATTGTGATATGAAAATATATAAAATTTAGACAGCTGGCAACTCTGTAACCATTTTGTTTTACGCCATTCGTATATAACACAGAGCAATGTAATTATTCAAACAGCTTCAGATTGCAATTTGATGACACTTTATATGCGAACGTGACGGAAATTTGTAACGCTACAGAATTACGTTGCCACCGACGCATTTTATTAGCGAACGAAAAGTAGTTTCACTTAAAATAAATATTGAATTGATACAGGATTTAAGTTTTAGGTTTTTTTCTTCGTACAATGAAATTCAGTAAATGATGGTCGCTTAGTAAAAATTTATTAGTAAAAAAATTCAGTTTAAAATACTTTCCAGGAAAATTTATAATTTTTCTAATGTTTATTCAAAAATTAATTTTTGCTTAAAAAAAAAATGTAATTCTAAGCCATTCACCAAAAATATTGAATACAGGTTGACATTATAAGGAAGTCAGTGAAGGTAATCCATAATTAATGGGAATATTTGTTCTTTCAAATTTTTTGCATCTTTTGAAAACCCGAAACCGTTGTA